ACTTGATCATCGTTCGTCTGTCTGGGGCATTTTTAGTTGTTAAGTTGGTGAATTGGTAAAGATAACAAAATCATCATGTGTAGATTGTTGGATTTGATAAGTGTATGAGATTATAAAAGCAGCGTGTGTTTACATAATGAAAGTGCTTATCACATTCGTGTTGGTTTTGTCACTTGATGGGGGGGAGGGAGGTGTTGTAACCAGGTCAGATTCTGTTTTAGTCCATCATTCCTATTCAGGCAATTTTGATTCCACTTAATATGAAGTGCTTCTGATATTAAACGTTCTTTGTGATTTCTGAAGTTTTTCTGGATTATTTCAACATTGTCAAAATCAATTTTGTGGCCTGATTCTATGGCATGTAGACCTATGGCTGATGATTTTTCAAGTCTTTGTAGTTCAACAGGATTCTTCGGCGGTCGAAGAGATGCTCTACGGTGTTCATTTCTTCTGATTTTGATTTCTCGAGAAGTTTGTCCGATGTATATCGCATCACATTCTAAGCATTTTATCTTATAGACACAATTAGATAGCGAATCTTTAGGGATTTGGTCTTTTATATGGACAAGGTTGCTTTGAAGTGTGTCTGATGTTTTGAAGAAAACTCTAATATCCCAGAATCCAATTCACTTCGGAAGCAGAATCAGACATCGGTGAACTACCATTTCTAGACTGCCTAGTTAAGAGAAAGGAAAACGGACATTTTAGTATATCCATATTCAGGAAGAAAACCCACTCAAATAAATATTTAGACTTCAAGTCATCACACCCCATCAGCGCAAAGATTTCAGTTGTTTCAAGTCTTCTTAGACGAGCACACTCTCTGATAACCGACGAGAAAGAAAAAGAAGAAGAAATATCAAACATTACTGAAACTCTCAAGCAAAACAACTACCCATGGAACTTCATCAACAAAATCAACACAGACATCAAGTATGGCCGAAAACGCATCCCGAAAACATGGACATCAACAGTCGTCATTCCATATAGAGAAGAGACGTCAGACGATATCAGAAGAGTACTCAATCAGCTCGATATTAGAGTTTTCTTCAAAACATCAGACACACTTCAAAGCAACCTTGTCCATATAAAAGACCAAATCCCTAAAGATTCGCTATCTAATTGTGTCTATAAGATAAAATGCTTAGAATGTGATGCGATATACATCGGACAAACTTCTCGAGAAATCAAAATCAGAAGAAATGAACACCGTAGAGCATCTCTTCGACCGCCGAAGAATCCTGTTGAACTACAAAGACTTGAAAAATCATCAGCCATAGGTCTACATGCTATAGAATCAGGCCACAAAATTGATTTTGACAATGTTGAAATAATCCAGAAAAACTTCAGAAATCACAAAGAACGTTTAATATCAGAAGCACTTCATATTAAGTGGAATCAAAATTGCCTGAATAGGAATGATGGACTAAAACAGAATCTGACCTGGTTACAACACCTCCCTCCCCCCCATCAAGTGACAAAACCAACACGAATGTGATAAGCACTTTCATTATGTAAACACACGCTGCTTTTATAATCTCATACACTTATCAAATCCAACAATCTACACATGATGATTTTGTTATCTTTACCAATTCACCAACTTAACAACTAAAAATGCCCCAGACAGACGAACGATGATCAAGTTAGTAAACTTTTCTTTCTTTTTTCGATATCATAACAGACATACTATTACCTTTGTTATTTGGTATAGTTATCTTCATCGCTATTTTTACTTTCAATATGTCCCTTTAACTTGACCTATGTCTATTTTCTCACCCCCTAACTGTTTGTTATATATATGCTGAGATTTTGTAAATTCCGGTTTAATAATACTTTGATAAAGCTATTAGCATTAAATAGCGAAACGTCAGTAAAAACAATATCGTTTTGTTTTTCATTCATTGGGAAATACAAAAACCTTTATTATAATGAATATCATATACCCAATGCCCAAATTTTTTCAAACCGTTAAAAGTCAACTTGGTTTGGACATATATAACTTAATTAAAAACCGGATTACTCTATCAAAGCATAAATGTAACTTCTATAATCATCGTATTTTCAACGTACGCTGTCTACAAAGTGGAATTATTCCTAAGTCACTACGAGTTAAACCTCTTGAATATTCGCACAAATCCATACTTGCTGCAAATCATACCTCCAAGGTATTTTTACGAGAAAGAATACATAACTGCAACATCAAACTTGAATCTTATCGAATGAGAATCAAAAATATAGACGACTGTTTAACATTACTTGTTACAAGTCATATCTATGAATCCTTTCAAAAACTGTTTAATGAACGAGAATCTCATTTTCATAATGTCACAAAAAGAAGACAAATACAAAAATTCTTAAAACTCGAAGAAAAGAAACAACCAAAGAAAACCTCAACAAATGATATGAAGAATATTAGAGCCATACATAACATGTCAGACAAGATACTAACCGAAAGTGAAATCTCATTACTACAGAAAGGTCTGAATTTCAATATCACCAGAAAGCCATTATCGGTCCAGGAAATAGCACCTATCATTGAACCTGCTCTACAACAATTCACCAATGAAGAATCACAACCTGTTCGTCAAAAGATATCACACATATTAATGACACAACGAAACATACCATCTAATCTCAACAAACAAGAATATGAAGCCTTAAGAAATTTGAAGAAGGACAAAAGCATCGTTATAACGAAAGCCGACAAGGGAAATGTCACCGTGATTATGAACAGAACGGATTACGAAAAGAAGGCGATCGAACACCTATCTGAAGGACCATACTTACTCATTGAAGAGAAGAAGAAATCCGCCGAATTCAACAAAATGAAAATAAATACAAACAGAGTCCTTCAAGAAATGAAACCCAAAATTGGAAATCCTCTCTGGTTTAAACTAAAACCAAAGTCTTATGTACCTTCAAGATTCTACGGTCAACCAAAGATACATAAACCCACAGTTCCATTGAGACCAGTAATCGATTTCACCAACTCACCGACATACAACCTATCTAAATACTTACTCTCGATACTACAACCACTACAAAAGGACACTCAAAATATTGTCAGGAATTCATATGATTTCAAATCCCAAATAGAACACCGAGAAATTGATAAAGAAGACATTATGGTAAGCTATGATATTAACTCATTATATACTAGTATCCCCATTACCGAAAGTCTTGATATCATCTCCAGTCTTCTAGAATCAGATACAACGCTATCCCAAAGATGTCCACTGGACACCAGTCAAATAATTAAGAGCTTAAAATTCTGTCTAGAAAATAATTATTTCACATTTAAAGGGAGTTTATATAGACAGACAAATGGTGTTGCTATGGGTTCACCAGTCTCACCAATAGTCGCCGACCTTTTCATGAATAAATTCGAAAATAACATCTTTTCAAGCATACTCACTCCTAAAATATGGTTAAGATATGTGGATGATACTTTTGTAGTACTAAAACGAGATCTACACAATTCATTCCTGGAGAAAATAAACTGTGTATGTCCCAGAATCCAATTCACTTCGGAAGCAGAATCAGACATCGGTGAACTACCATTTCTAGACTGCCTAGTTAAGAGAAAGGAAAACGGACATTTTAGTATATCCATATTCAGGAAGAAAACCCACTCAAATAAATATTTAGACTTCAAGTCATCACACCCCATCAGCGCAAAGATTTCAGTTGTTTCAAGTCTTCTTAGACGAGCACACTCTCTGATAACCGACGAGAAAGAAAAAGAAGAAGAAATATCAAACATTACTGAAACTCTCAAGCAAAACAACTACCCATGGAACTTCATCAACAAAATCAACACAGACATCAAGTATGGCCGAAAACGCATCCCGAAAACATGGACATCAACAGTCGTCATTCCATATAGAGAAGAGACGTCAGACGATATCAGAAGAGTACTCAATCAGCTCGATATTAGAGTTTTCTTCAAAACATCAGACACACTTCAAAGCAACCTTGTCCATATAAAAGACCAAATCCCTAAAGATTCGCTATCTAATTGTGTCTATAAGATAAAATGCTTAGAATGTGATGCGATATACATCGGACAAACTTCTCGAGAAATCAAAATCAGAAGAAATGAACACCGTAGAGCATCTCTTCGACCGCCGAAGAATCCTGTTGAACTACAAAGACTTGAAAAATCATCAGCCATAGGTCTACATGCCATAGAATCAGGCCACAAAATTGATTTTGACAATGTTGAAATAATCCAGAAAAACTTCAGAAATCACAAAGAACGTTTAATATCAGAAGCACTTCATATTAAGTGGAATCAAAATTGCCTGAATAGGAATGATGGACTAAAACAGAATCTGACCTGGTTACAACACCTCCCTCCCCCCCATCAAGTGACAAAACCAACACGAATGTGATAAGCACTTTCATTATGTAAACACACGCTGCTTTTATAATCTCATACACTTATCAAATCCAACAATCTACACATGATGATTTTGTTATCTTTACCAATTCACCAACTTAACAACTAAAAATGCCCCAGACAGACGAACGATGATCAAGTTAGTAAACTTTTCTTTCTTTTTTCGATATCATAACAGACATACTATTACCTTTGTTATTTGGTATAGTTATCTTCATCGCTATTTTTACTTTCAATATGTCCCTTTAACTTGACCTATGTCTATTTTCTCACCCCCTAACTGTTTGTTATATATATGCTGAGATTTTGTAAATTCCGGTTTAATAATACTTTGATAAAGCTATTAGCATTAAATAGCGAAACGTCAGTAAAAACAATATCGTTTTGTCTTTCATTCATTGGGAAATACAAAAATCTTTATTATAATGAATATCATATACCCAATGCCCAAATTTTTTCAAACCGTTAAAAGTCAACTTGGTTTGGACATATATAAATCGATTAGTAAAGTTGAACACGAAACAGTTTACGTCTTCCAACAATTAGAGTGGGAGACAACTTTCTATACGTTACATATTAATTACATGTTAACTGTTCTTGATTACCCGTCAATCAGATTGTTAACATACAAAGATCTAATAAATATTTTTCATTACCCAAATACAAAATTGTATTTTTATTTGCACTGCTTTCATAATAAGAACACATTTCTTTATTGACTTCTGTCTAGTAATACGGAAAAGGTAAAGTAATTATCGACGTAAAAATATGGTTTATTATGTACATTTTATGAAAGCTTTTATGAAAATATAACCTAGAATAATGTAAATCAGTAACAGTCACTCTATCATGAATCTATATCTTCACTAACAGTTTGTTTTGAAGACTGTACAATACTTATATTCCGTTTCCAAGTTTTACCACCAACACCGATTTGTGCCTCAGGATTCGATGGATGACATGGTGTTAGACTGACATCTGCAACGAAAGCAACAGATTGTGAATCGACATTTTCCGGATTCAACTGAATTATGGTTGGTTTTGTTACAGAATGATTCACATTTGTTGATTGTGCAGTTGTGTTAACTGACTGATAACACTCAGAATCCGATAGATAAAGATAATATCCACGTGGATTTGTTTCATTGGCAGTTGAAACAACAGTTGTATTATCATCTTGATGTGATGAATATTCTTCATTGGATTCAGTTGTATTCGAATGTGGGACATCACTGACTGAAGTGTTTTTTCCCTTTGAAGCCGAAGAGGATGATGCAATTTCCTTTTCTGTATGAACCAAGCGAATGTGTCGTTCTAAGTTGAATCTTGAAAACAGACATAAATAGATAACAGAATTTAATAGATAACTTACATATCCAACGTTGAGAATAGAACAACTAAGGTGTCTAGATTGAAAGAAAAAATCTCTCAAGCTATATCAGTCTTGCATATTTATTTATTTAAACGCAGAAGAACTTGGTACAATATGGCACCAAGAAAGATGCGCCACACAATAATAATAAAACAACATAGATTAAAAGTAAAAATATAGGTAGAAAACGAATAAAGAACTTCATCAGGAAGGAAAACAGTCATGTTTAACAAGTTCAAACAGTATTCGTTAACTATCATCAGGAAGGGAAGAAAGAAGGAAATTGCAACACGTTCGCCATTGATTACGATTCTTGGCCATATCCGATAACGTTTCGAGCTATCTCGCGGACCCCAACCAGGGAGTCGTGACACACCAACCGATGCTAATCTAGCACAAATATCCTTCATCCCACGACGCCACGTCATGGACTGACCACCCCTCCGCCTTTTCCATCCCGTCCCAGGGCTGGCGAACAGAGACCTGTACGGAAGCCTCTGGGATGACATTCGCAGCACATGTCCAAGCCACCGGAGCTGGTGTTTCCAGATGACGACACTCAATGAATGGTGATCTCCACTGTGTTCAAACACACGCCGCCGAACCTCAGAATTACTCACGCGATGATGCCATCGAACGCAAGCAATCCTGCGGAGACAGCGATGATCGAACACGCAGAGTCGCTGCACATCCTCAGCTCGGAGAGGCCAGGTTTCACAGGCGTAGAGCAAGGCAGCCAGCACCGAAGCATTGTATACCCGACCTTTGAAAGCCAGGCTAACGTCGCGACGGCGCCAGAGGTGGCACAAGTTGATGTATGCCACCCTAGCCTTCATTATACGGTTGGAAATCTCATCCGTCACCCCTCCGCCAGCACTCACACAACTACCCAGGTACACAAACTTATCAACAACTTCAAGCGGTTCACCCGCAAGAGTGAGTGCAGGTACAGGCTCCTGCCAATCTTGTAACAGTACTTTGCACTTAGACGGTCGGTGCAAAGCACATACCATACTTACAGACACTGATCGCCAACTGATTAAGTGCGATTTGGGCAGCCTGCATGCTATCGCACAGTAAGACGATATCGTCTGCATACTCGAGGTCGAAAAGTCTATCTCCAGGTAGCAGATCTACACCACCTTCACACACATCCTTTAGAGCTGACTCCAGAATGTCATCGATGGCAAAGTCTTGCACAGCACGAGTATCTGGTGATAACACTGATAATTAAGTCTTAAAACGTCCTATTTGACTAAGACCAAGTGTTGTAGCAGTTCAGATAATCGATAAATTAAGCCAAATTATCTGTGGTTATCGCATAAATGCTTGATTAACATATTATCGAGTGTAGATATTGAGAATAGTCAAAAAGCATTATTCATTTATACGGGTGTGTAGGAAATTTGTTGAAAACAGTTGAAAAAACAATTGAAGACTAAACCGCAGTTTCATCCAAGTTTGGAACACAAAACCATCGACCCAATGAGTGATCGAATCAAGTCATAAGGCAAACACGTCAGTTTTCCGTTGTTGTGTTGAAATCCCATGGCCTATAATCCCCAACTGCTCTCAAATTGCAGCATAATTCCAACACATCACTTAATGTACCGGAACTATGACAGTGCTCCATGGTTTTTCAAGTATTCTTCAAACTGATATTTATTTATACTAAATAAACCAACAAAAATTATGTACTAACTCCTCAACCAAGATTAATTACGAGTAATGTTGCTCCCTAATTGAATTACAAAATAACCGGTTGCACATGGATAGTGAGTCATTCATATGTTGTATAAGGAAGCTAATAGGACAGTCTTATTGAGCTCATTGTGTAACGCCATATCCATTTGCAAATCATATCAACTATTAAACTGTCTTTTTAAAAATGATACGATTGACGATCACCTGCTTCCGTTGAGTCTCAGAGCTAAATTTGACAGTCATCTTCTACTAACAACCTACCTACACTACTTGCTTTACTCATTCCACCTTAATACTACTATGTGTAAACAGACAAACTACCTTGGATTAAATATCACTGAATTAAAACAAAAAATACAAGAGGGACAGATGCTGTAACTTAACAAACCGCTTGCGTATGCAATCGACGTAAATGAGATAACCTATTCTATCAAACATTATGTTAGTGTTTATGTTGAACGAGAATCACACACTAAAACTACGGTATCATGCATATTATAGTTTGGAATTTCAAATATATATATATATATGTATTATACGTCCATAATTACATACAAGGTGTCATTATACAGATTTCACTGAGTTTTTCAAGTCTCAGCTCTATAAACAAACAAATGGGTGATAAAAAGTTCTCGTTTACATTGAAGGCGTAGTATAAACACAGGGGCGAATAAAACTGTTGATTGTAGAACACAATGAATATTCACTCTTTTTTATTCATTTAGGAATTCTGAAGACTGATTGATGGTGTGGGGCTATAGGGTAACCAATGGGACCAATCTCTGGCGTAAACGTGTTATCCACGCAGGTGGTTCGAGGTTCGATTCCCAGCCACCGACGCACTCCTCCATTACCTCGCTCAGCCAGTAACAGGACTGGTAAGGAGGGAAGGCTGGGCATGAGGCTAGCAACTCCATCTCGTAAAAATAGACACCACTGCTACAAAAACTTCAAGCCTCTATCTTGAAGCCCTATGTTCCATCGAGAACGTAAAGGAATTTAAAAAAAAACGCGAAGTTAGTACATTATAGCCGCCAAAAGATACGACACACAAAATCTCATAGTTTGTGCCGGAGCTGGAATACTGCCGACACACGCCCAGATAGAAGCAGGTGTTTATCTTAAGGGACCACTCTCGACCCTTTGACTTGATGTCTGATCCACAAGGCAGTGGAGAAGCGTCAGGAGCTACGTTTCCATACTTTTAGATGACCAAGACAGGTTCGTACGCCATTTGATCCAATCGAATTCTGGAGCCTATAACTTTGAAATCAAGCTTTTCCAGCTTCCCTCGATGGACCTGCATGTCTACCAGACATTCGCAGTCTTCCTTTCACTTTTGTCAGGTACACCCCAGCTGCATGAAGGCAGTGAATAGGAATCACCTGGCAGAGGCTATGAACACACGGCCACATGATAGTTTGTCGCGAGGGAGACTAAAGTCTAACCACTCTCTCGGCTGCATCAGGTCGTGTTTATGGAGCATTTCATGAGATAATGGTCTGTCTGTTTTCGACATAGAACTTTGCACATATGTGCACCACTTCAAGTCGCTACACTCCCTCCATGTAGCACACAAAGGAAGAGAAGAAAGTAGGAGAAATGCATATTAGAGATAGTAAACAGAGGTGTGAGACAAAGGTACAGTAATAACGAAGAACAAAACAGTTTCATTGGAAATCATAAGTCACAAGGAGTGGATGCATCTGCGCCAGTCATTGAGAACGATTTTGAGTCATGTCACCAATTGTTTCCAACCATTGGTTTTTACCATTCCAAGGACCCCAACCAGGAAGTCTACACCTTCCTACATGGCTTAAACGAACTGTTGTGCATTTCATTGACTGATGAAGCCATATTTTGGTTTGACCACCACTGGCTCTTTTCCAACCTCAATATATGTCAGTCAGTTAACATTGCCCCGTCAGTTATGAGAGGCGATGGCTAGACATGTGTAACACATGTCCTAACCATCTCAGTCGATGTAATTTCACAGCCTCGTCGACTGATTTCCCCGCCTTACGTAGCACTCGACGCCTAACCTCAATATTGCTCACCTTATTATACTACTTCACACGGGAGACAGAATGCAGATACATATGATCGAACACAGCTAGTCTTTTCATGTCTTCCGCTCTTAATGGCCAGGTCTCACAGCCATAAAGGAGGACGGAGCGGACTGATGAGCAGTACACACGCCCTTTGGTCGATAGTCGGATATCACATCTACGCCAGAGATGGCGTAAACTGGCATATGCGAAACTAGCCCTCTGTATCCGTGCTGAGATTTCGTCAGAGATCAACCCGTTGGGGCTGATGGTACTTCCCAAGTAAGTGAAGCAGTCAACGTTCTCTAGCACTTCATTTCCTATTTCTAATCTAGGGGTCGGTGTAGTCATCATCATCTTACATTTTACAGGGTAGACTTCATTAAGGTGGAAAAAGGTTCTAAATTCAGTTGGTATTCAATGAATACAAATCAGGACTAATTTAAAACCATTAAAGAGAAAATTCATTCAAATACATTACGGTAAAGTGGAGATAGTTTTTTAAAGAAGTACTTCAAATCAGACCATACTTTCTTCTGTTAAAATAATGTGAACTTTAAGAAATACTCTAGACTATACCAGTAAACGTTTGCATTAATTTTCTTAAGGTAGGCAGTAAATTTTATTTAATTGCCATTATATGAACACGAGAAAAATGCCAAACGAAAGGAAAGGCTGACCTGGTTAGCAAGCATTAAATGTTTGGTGTGAGAGTGGTTTTTCACCACCACCCATATCAATTAGTAGTATATACTGCTATGTGTGCTACTAACAAGAGTTTGTAAGTAGTATGTCAGCGACGTCATCTGCAGAATCTTAAATAGCACAGTGATTCATTAACTTGCAAATAGGGAGAAGGTAGACAGTTTTAAAGCGACATAGAAAGCATAAAATGAAGAAAAAAGAAGCAGATTGTGAATACTTCGTCGGTGTTCCTATTGCAACTACCTTTTCTCTCAATAGTTACCTAGTTGCTTTCCCTTGCCACGATAAACAGTTATAGTTGCTGGGATATGCAGCCTGATGACTTCTCCATAAACTATGACGTCAATAAGTGGATCTAGGACTGTTCATCAAATGTAGAAAGTGTGCGGCAAAGTAGGTTCTTTGACGTCAGTACCAACTCCTATGGGTCTCTCTATCTGGTGTCATCATTATACAGAACTGCTGCTCTATCTGTCTGTCTGTCGCCCAGGCTATTGAACTCCAACACACAAAGCATTCTGATAGAAATTCCCAATTCCCCTAAATGCCCTACGCTATCATTAGGAGCTTTCACTCAACCTCTCAAAAGCTATGCTAGCAACACCATCTTCGACGTCGACTCCTGGATGCCCACCAACTCAGCAACAGCTGAAAGATTCTTCAGGAAGCATAGGGTGTTTTGCTTTTCGGAAGCTATAGGCCGTGGTGTTTCCATCTGATCGAAGACAGCGATAGTCGTATTCGGCAGTGGAGTGTTTATTTCGCAAAATGACGAGCAGTGACAACAAAGTAGGGAAACATTTCATTGAGACCTAGCTTTTTAAAAATTATTCGTATTCCGCTACTTTCTTCCTTTATTTCTTCTTTTTGCAACTTAATCTATCGTTCTGCGATTCAAGATTCTTACAGAAAACATCACTAATATACTACTTACAATTTCTTGTTAGTAGCACACGCCACAATACTGTCTTGTTCAGTGAATCTCACCAACAAATTAATAAGAAGCCTATACATAAACTTATTCCCACTCTACACCACTGATTAATTGTTGAAGGAGGTATTGAGTTTCAGCATCAGCCAGGTATAAATTACATAGGAGAAAGTATAACTGAACAATGCGCTAGGCTTTAACATTCCAAGATCTGTACACTGGACTAAGGTGCAAACAAGATTAAAGTTAAGGGAAGTAAAAGGTCATTGACAGATCTAGACATATATAGATGTATCATAAAACGGGAATAAAAGAGCAAAAAGAATTTTTTTTAAATCCAATACAATAAGGGGGTTACGCAATACAAAAAGTCATCTACGTCACTTGGATTCCTGAATCACCGATTTCGATTGTCTCAGAGGTACAACTCCGATCGACAGTCAAAGACCACATAAAATAGTGTACTGTCTTCAACTGGAAACTAAAACTCTGAATTGCAGGTATTCTGATATCTCTTTCTTTTTCATTTTTGTGGGGTTAAGAATATTTCTGTAGAACTTACAACATCAATCAAGAAGTCATTTTCTGGGGTGATTCACATTTTAATGAAGTATTAGAGTTTCATATCTAAATGTTTTTAATCATAACCTCAGATAGGAGAACATCCTAGTTTGAAGAATATTATATTTATGGTTCTCTTTAGATAAAAGTCGACTACGTGATGTAAAAACAACTAATTCTGAGTTTTATATATACATTCCTAATGAAATAAATCATAAAAACGAATGTACAAAGCAAACACAAGGGTAATATTTGTGGTAAAAATTGAACTTACTTATTACTAAGATGTTTTTCGCAAATAGGACATGATAAACCAGCATTCTGATTGTGAACTTGATTAAAGTGTTTAGTTAAATTGCCCTTTGTACTAAATAAAGCATCTGACAAAAACCCAAATGAACAAGCGAGAAATGAAGTTAAAAGTACCGATTATAGGTTTAAAAAACATTTATACCAATGAATAATAACAAATAAATATGAAGAAAACAAAAGAAAATTTGAGCAAGGAATATTCGTTTCGATAATTTCCTCTTCCGGCTATACATCAGTGAGATAATAACACAACGCCTAGGGAATACGGTTCCCTATTTAGCATTTGGGAGTTAAACAGAAACTAACTAATTTCACTTCTTCTATGTGTATCCATCAATTTGACTGCTCCTATGGAGCGAATTATATAGGCCGAAACAATTAGGCGTATTTATTGTCGGATTTCGCAACACCATCCTGCGTGGTTAAGTAAGGGAGAAACAAAGTCCATTCATAATTCTTTTCTATCTCATCTCGTGGATACACAACACAGAATTGATGTAAACAAAGCCTTCAAAGTCATCTAACGTGAACCAATTAAATTCCATTGTACCTCAAGAGTTCGGCTATTACAAATAGTTGAGGCCATTGGAATCAACATTAAGAAGCCTAATCTATGTATGCAAAAGAAATTGGCTAAGACGCTTTCTTTACCTTGGTCATCAAGGCTTTAATTATCCTTAATTTTTTGTAGAAATTTCCTTAAGTTTAATCTTATTTGATATTCTATTTACTATTACATTTCTATGCTTATTATTATGATAACATATGCATCTTTCTTGAACTGTGATTTCACTGATATCTAAAAAATTGATAGTATTTAAAAAACAACAATACTGTTGATGACGATTATTGTAGAATATTCTATGTATATAAACATATTGCGAAATGGTCACGCTATGTCGTCAATTGGCAGAAGTTAGAATTCAATGACCATTGGATCGGATCCCAGTGGCTCAATGGTCCACGAGCTCGCCTTGTAACTGGAAGGTCCTGGGTTCGAACCCTGGAAGTGGGTGCGTACTGAGGAAGAGTCCCAAACTAGGACGAAACAGCTGTCCAGTACTCTTAGGTTTTCCAGTGGTTCTCTAACTGATGACATCTCATGATGAAATCCTCCATATATATATATATATATATATATATATATATATATATATATATATATATATATATACATATATATAGTTGTAGAGCAGGAATAGGAAATTACCCACAAGAATATTTTTCACTCAAATTTTCTATTGTCTTCCAACTGTCTGAATGGATATTTTCGCTATATTGAATTATGAAGAACTAGTGAAGGTGTTAGCAAGCAGAAATTGTCATGTACTGAGATCTTTATCTTCATTTCTTTGTGTTCCAAAGGGAAGTTTGGCTTCAAGCTTGAGCTTTCAAAGTTTCAGTAACAATGTTGTTGTCTCTACAGAGTGTGATAGCTAGCTTGTCTCACACCAAACCGTCCCTCTTTTTCAGACTTATTACCAGTTAAGCGAAGTTTAGGAGTGCGTCGGCCGGGAATCAAACCCTAGACTAATGTGCGTAACTGAAGAGCATTAGGCCACTGAGTCACTGGCGCACAAAACGTTATCGGCAGATCACCTTGAACCTAAGTTTTATGTTTATTGGCACTCATCTGCAACCTTGAGAGAAATGATATCTACTCTAAGATTCGAACCCGTGTCACCCAATGTTGTAGTAAGAGACGCTACCACTGAACTACTTCAGCTCACAAACATCAGTTGGATGAGGCAAAAGCATACAGCATGGTTAAATCCTCTACCAGCTTCGTAGACAACTATCAGGCGGCGTGATATCCCATAGCTCCCGGCAGATCTGGCAACAAAAATTCATGAGAACACCATCAGAGCCAAATGTCCCACATATGGAGATGGTGGAAAATATATTATGAATGGAGATATTAGTAATTCCGAATAAGTGATGAATCCGTCCGCGATTTTACTTTACAAACAATGTAATATCACGCTACGACAGAACACCGTTGTGATTTCACGAGTATAAGACAAAATAAGTAGGAGAAAATCCGGCATTATTTTAAAGGCCACATAGAATGGCCAAACTCTTCCTCAACAAATCGACCACATGTATGTGAATGATGTGATGAAAGCTGTGGTGGTCAAACACCTAAACAAATGTAAATCCTCTCTACTTTTAGTGACTGTGTTTCACAGCACTGTTAAGCAGTATTTTCGCTATATTGAATTATGAAGAACTAGTGAAGGTGTTAGCAAGCAGAAATTGTCATGTACTGAGATCTTTATCTTCATTTCTTTGTGTTCCAAAGGGAAGTTTGGCTTCAAGCTTGAGCTTTCAAAGTTTCAGTAACAATGTTGTTGTCTCTACAGAGTGTGATAGCTAGCTTGTCTCACACCAAACCGTCCCTCTTTTTCAGACTTATTACCAGTTAAGCGAAGTTTAGGAGTGCGTCGGCCGGGAATCAAACCCTAGACTAATGTGCGTAACTGAAGAGCATTAGGCCACTGAGTCACTGGCGCACAAAACGTTATCGGCAGATCACCTTGAACCTAAGTTTTATGTTTATTGGCACTCATCTGCAACCTTGAGAGAAATGATATCTACTCTAAGATTCGAACCCGTGTCACCCAATGTTGTAGTAAGAGACGCTACCACTGAACTACTTCAGCTCACAAACATCAGTTGGATGAGGCAAAAGCATACAGCATGGTTAAATCCTCTACCAGCTTCGTAGACAACTATCAGGCGGCGTGATATCCCATAGCTCCCGGCAGATCTGGCAACAAAAATTCATGAGAACACCATCAGAGCCAAATGTCCCACATATGGAGATGGTGGAAAATATATTATGAATGGAGATATTAGTAATTCCGAATAAGTGATGAATCCGTCCGCGATTTTACTTTACAAACAATGTAATATCACGCTACGACAGAACACCGTTGTGATTTCACGAGTATAAGATAAAATAAGTAGGAGAAAATCCGGCATTATTTTAAAGGCCACATAGAATGGCCAAACTCTTCCTCAACAAATCGACCACATGTATGTGAATGATGTGATGAAAGCTGTGGTGGTCAAACACCTAAACAAATGTAAATCCTCTCTACTTTTAGTGACTGTGTTTCACAGCACTGTTAAGCAGTATTTTCGCTATATTGAATTATGAAGAACTAGTGAAGGTGTTAGCAAGCAGAAATTGTCATGTACTGAGATCTTTATCTTCATTTCTTTGTGTTCCAAAGGGAAGTTTGGCTTCAAGCTTGAGCTTTCAAAGTTTCAGTAACAATGTTGTTGTCTCTACAGAGTGTGATAGCTAGCTTGTCTCACACCAAACCGTCCCTCTTTTTCAGACTTATTACCAGTTAAGCGAAGTTTAGGAGTGCGTCGGCCGGGAATCAAACCCTAGACTAATGTGCGTAACTGAAGAGCATTAGGCCACTGAGTCACTGGCGCACAAAACGTTATCGGCAGATCACCTTGAACCTAAGTTTTATGTTTATTGGCACTCATCTGCAACCTTGAGAGAAATGATATCTACTCTAAGATTCGAACCCGTGTCACCCAATGTTGTAGTAAGAGACGCTACCACTGAACTACTTCAGCTCACAAACATCAGTTGGATGAGGCAAAAGCATACAGCATGGTTAAATCCTCTACCAGCTTCGTAGACAACTATCAGGCGGCGTGATATCCCATAGCTCCCGGCAGATCTGGCAACAAAAATTCATGAGAACACCATCAGAGCCAAATGTCCCACATATGGAGATGGTGGAAAATATATTATGAATGGAGATATTAGTAATTCCGAATAAGTGATGAATCCGTCCGCGATTTTACTTTACAAACAATGTAATATCACGCTACGACAGAACACCGTTGTGATTTCACGAGTATAAGACAAAATAAGTAGGAGAAAATCCGGCATTATTTTAAAGGCCACATAGAATGGCCAAACTCTTCCTCAACAAATCGACCACATGTATGTGAATGATGTGATGAAAGCTGTGGTGGTCAAACACCTAAACAAATGTAAATCCTCTCTACTTTTAGTGACTGTGTTTCACAGCACTGTTAAGCAGTATTTTCGCTATATTGAATTATGAAGAACTAGTGAAGGTGTTAGCAAGCAGAAATTGTCATGTACTGAGATCTTTATCTTCATTTCTTTGTGTTCCAAAGGGAAGTTTGGCTTCAAGCTTGAGCTTTCAAAGTTTCAGTAACAATGTTGTTGTCTCTACAGAGTGTGATAGCTAGCTTGTCTCACACCAAACCGTCCCTCTTTTTCAGACTTATTACCAGTTAAGCGAAGTTTAGGAGTGCGTCGGCCGGGAATCAAACCCTAGACTAATGTGCGTAACTGAAGAGCATTAGGCCACTGAGTCACTGGCGCACAAAACGTTATCGGCAGATCACCTTGAACCTAAGTTTTATGTTTATTGGCACTCATCTGCAACCTTGAGAGAAATGATATCTACTCTAAGATTCGAACCCGTGTCACCCAATGTTGTAGTAAGAGACGCTACCACTGAACTACTTCAGCTCACAAACATCAGTTGGATGAGGCAAAAGCATACAGCATGGTTAAATCCTCTACCAGCTTCGTAGACAACTATCAGGCGGCGTGATATCCCATAGCTCCCGGCAGATCTGGCAACAAAAATTCATGAGAACACCATCAGAGCCAAATGTCCCACATATGGAGATGGTGGAAAATATATTATGAATGGAGATATTAGTAATTCCGAATAAGTGATGAATCCGTCCGCGATTTTACTTTACAAACAATGTAATATCACGCTACGACAGAACACCGTTGTGATTTCACGAGTATAAGACAAAATAAGTAGGAGAAAATCCGGCATTATTTTAAAGGCCACATAGAATGGCCAAACTCTTCCTCAACAAATCGACCACATGTATGTGAATGATGTGATGAAAGCTGTGGTGGTCAAACACCTAAACAAATGTAAATCCTCTCTACTTTTAGTGACTGTGTTTCACAGCACTGTTAAGCAGTATTTTCGCTATATTGAATTATGAAGAACTAGTGAAGGTGTTAGCAAGCAGAAAT